CTTGGCCTGGTCCACGCCCCCCGGGAGGAATTACTGGCCTGTCCATGCCCCTGGAGGGACCACTTGGCCTGGTCCCAAGTCTCCCGGGAGGACCATTTGGCCTGGTCCACACCCTCCGGGGAGGACCACACTTGGCCTGGTCCACACCCCCGGGAGTGGACCACACTTGGCCTGGTCCACACCCCCCCGGGAGGACCACTTGGCCTGGTCCACACCCCCCGGGAGGACCACTTGGCCTGGTCCACGCCCCCCGGGAGGACCATTTGGCCTGGTCCACACCCCCCGGGAGGACCACTTGGCCTGGTCCACACCCCCCGGGAGGACCACTTGGCCTGGTCCACACCCCCCGGGAGGACCATTTGGCCTGGTCCACACCCCCCGGGAGGACCATTTGGCCTGGTCCACGTCCCCCGGGAGGACCACTTGGCCTGGTCCACACCCCCCGGGAGGACCACTTGGCCTGGTCCACACCCCCCGGGAGGACCACTTGGCCTGGTCCACACCTCCAGGACAAAAAGGTCAACAGAAGAAAGTTAAAGTCAAGGACCAGAAGTCTGAGGCAATGAAACAAGTCACGATTTTCGAGTGTCCTCACCTAAAATGTCAACAAATAACATGATTTTTCGACCTTTAGTCTTCAGTTTATTTCGTGTGTGTGTGTGTGTGTGTGTGTGTGTGTGTGTGTGTGTGTATGTGTGTGTGTGTGTGTGTGTGTGTGTAATAATAATAATAATAATAATAATTAACGGTTTATTGAAAGAGCTAGTAACCAGAAGGCTGAAAATATACAGTTACATATTTGGGGAATGGGTTACGAATTACAAATAATATACAAGACATATGACACAAATACACATATAGTAACTCAGATGGGGATCAGCTCAAACTACAGTTCATTTCAACATAGTGACAGTGTAGGGAGCAGTGTTTACTGGGAGGAATACAATTGATTTATTACATGTTATTGATAATTTTACAATGGTTGGGACTGGGCTGTTCTATAGCGATCAGTTCGTGCACGATGGGCTGGATGGTTGTGGTGTCGAACAGCAATTCTCGACACAGGGGATCTCAGGTAGTAGGGCCGGTGTCGGGGATGGTAGAAGCTTCTACCAAATTTGCAGATGAGGCCGTGGTGATGGTCAAGGAGAGTCGAAAGGCTGAAAAGGAGCGCTTTTTGATATGTGGAGTAGGAAGGAGAGAATAACTTGTATGCCCCTTTGCACTCTTTTTCAGGTGTTTACGTTGTGTGGCATTTAGGAGGAAGACCAGTGTGGAACATAGGAGCTGGTGAAGTATGAATGTTGTGTATACACTGAGGAGCTCGTGTGGGAACCTGAGGGACTTGAGTCGGCGGAGGAGGTGGAGACGGAAACTGGAGGATTTGACAACTTCACTGACGTGTGGTTTCCAATTTAGTTTGTTGTCTATGGTGACGCCGAGGAGCTGTGGAATCTACAACCTGGAGTGTGTTCTGGACTAGGTAATGGAAGGAGGGGACAATGTCGAGGAGAGGTTGATGCATAACCCAGGTCTTGTATGGTTGATGGTGACATGGTTGTTGGTGGCCCAGTTTTGGAGACTGGCCCAATAAACCCTAAGGGCGGTATAGTTGGGAGCAGAATTGTTGACGCTGATCCCAATGTTGAGTCGTACATATTTCCAGCGAGCAGGGTTTCTTAGGGCATCATTGATGAGCATAAGGAAGCAGAGTGGTCCCATCTTGGTGCCTTGGGGACGCTACAGGTGAGTGACTGAAGGTGGAGACAGCCCCTCGAAGCGTACAGCTTATGTCGGTCACTGAGGAAGTCTGCAAGTTATGGTATGAGACTTCTCCGAAGCCCGAGGTCAATAGCTTTGTTTATGATTATATTGTGGTCGACTAGGTGAACGCTTTAGTGAAATCAATGAAGCGACAGCTACAGACGTTTTCACTCTCGAGACAAGGTATATGTAATCGAGAAAGCTGACAAGACAGTGAGTGGTGGAGGAAGTTTTCATGTTGCCAAATTGCTTGAGGGTCTACGACTTCTGCAATATCAGCATAAGCCCAGTCAAACACAAACTTTCACAGATTAGTGGGTATTGGGGTGATTGCAATAGGTCGTAGCTGATTTAAGATTGTGGGCTGTTGACTTGGGCACTGGTGATACATAAGAGGTCTTCAGTCAGCTTGGGCATCTGGCTTGACTGAGAGAACAGCATTGATGATGGAGCAGAGGTTTAGCAAGTCTGGGAGAACTCCTTGAATAGTTTCATTGGTAAGTCAATGGGGTGGTAGAGCGTTTTAATTCTAGTTTGTCCAGGCGTTTTGCTACGTCAAATTCCTCTACTAAGTCAGTGAGGGGGTTGTAGGTAAGCAGGAGAGTGGGTTGTGTAGCCGTGGGAGCGTCTGGGTATATAGTAGCGAAATGGTTATTTGTTTGCTCAGTCAGTCAACATTAGTGAGATGGCTAAGGAAGGAGGTGGGGTGTGTCATATTGTTTAGTAAAAGGCGTCA